GGACAAAGTCTCTCACTCTATCAAAAATATATTTTTAACACTTGTTGAATGCATACGATATCGAAGAATTACATTCTATTTATGAAATTTCTTTTGTTAATAATTTCTTAATAAACAACAAGCGGCGACTAATGCCCGTTTCTACCAACTTTGGTTAACTTAACCTGGTTATTCCAACGGGATTTATTAATCGCATCTGTCAATTTTGACTAACGAAAAGTGCGATCAGTCAACTCAGTTGGAATAATCAGTCGGTTAAGTTAGTAGAAATGGGTAGAAATAAGTCACTAGTGACCAGTTAATCCTAAGAGCATCCGTGCTACGAACTTTGACTATAACATATGCATAACATAATTGATGAATCTCAAGATATATTTATATTATGTATATGTGTGTGTGGTGGATTGAATAAGGGCTAAATTTCGAAAATGTTGAAAATATTGAATATATTTCTCAGTATAGTAATGTGAATAACAAGAGATGGACTATTGGCAACCCATACTTTAATCATTCGAAAAGATGTTCGATCGAAATTATTTAATCATTTCTTAGATTTCCACCGTGTTTTCTACACTCAGAAAAAAAATTTTAAATTAACAAATGTTTATTAGGTGAGTGCCATTAATGTATTTACTTAAATCAAAATTTTCTTCATTTAAACCGACTATTGTTATTTAAATCGAGTAAATAATACTTGGCTTAAAAATAAAGAGAATTTTGATTCAAGTAAATATGTTAATATGTTAATACGGTATCCGTCTGAGAAATATTTGTTAATTTTTAGATACTTTTTTCTCAGTGTAGGGAAAACGAAATAATTCCGGCCGGAAACGAGTAATTTCATAATATTTGCCGAGGTTTCGGCCGTCGAGCAGTCGTCTGAATGTAACAAGACAATTATAAGGCTTAAAAGTGAAAACGAAGGTAAAAATGTTAAGTGCCAAGGGGATAAAATAAGACGAGATTATATTATTTCAACGACCGTCGGTCGGCCGCGAGTAGAAATGAAATCGAATTGTTCCACGGCGATCCCTCAACTGAAGGACGACGAAGTGAATAAGGGCTCGCGTATACGTCGGGCCGAAGAGACGTTATTATCGGAAATGAATACGAAATGAAGCTCGTGTCCGAGTCGCCGACATTTCGCCGTAATGTTACCCTCCTTCCAACAAAGCTCCCTTATTACAATAATCGATTCCACTGTCAATCTCAGACTCGCTTTCGTCACGAGAGCCGGGGCCGGGCGAAGTCGGTTTCAGGGCCGTCTCGATTCATCAGGCCAGTTTCTTTGATCGCCCTCGACGACCCATTCATTTCGCACGAGTTACGTATCGCCGGACAATCGGCCCGGACGTGGGCGACACGGCCGCGCCGGCAGATCGTTACACTGAAAGAAAAGTGAAAATTGACGGTCGCGTGTCGGCGACGGCTGTCAGCCGCGCGCGCGGTAAAGAATAATTAATTATCGTGCGTACACGACACCGGAACGAGCGCTCGACACGCGTAACGTTTGACAATCTATTCCAGATCGGCATGCATTATGTATTCCTTCTCGATTTCATCTCGACGACGGTTACGCCGACGGCCAGCATAAAAACTTACTTCGCAACTTTTTATCCCGCTCGATATATTGACTTCCTCTCGTTTCTTTACAGAGCAAACGCAGCCTCGCTCGTGATAGAATCCGATAGCGGCGCGAGATAGGCACCTCGCGGTTCTCAATTTTCATTTTTATCCTCAAAACACTCCCTTGATACTCGGCTCTCTCTCTCTCTCTCTCTCTGGCTCCTCCCCTCTGCCCCCCCCTCCCCTCCCATCGGGAGCAGTCAATATCCGAGTTCGGATAAGCGACACCGTTAGGTACGCCGAGAGCTGCCGAGAGCATCCGTGCGCGTCCACCGCGATAAAACCGGCCGCGATGCGATCCGCGATGATGGCAGCGCGATGCGCTCGCGCTGCACTTACGCATCCGGCGCTACCGCGCTTAGGCCGACACAGTGGTCTCCGCCGCGCTATTATTGTTGGAGTACAATGGGGCCACGCGGTCGATTGTCGGCGGCCACCGAAAAGAACTCGCGCAAGAAGAGTCGGCGGGACATAACTCTTCGCGATGTTGTCGTTCTCGCAGTGTGGTCTGAAGTAAAATTTTCTCGCTGGTTGAGAAGGCGTTCACAGAGGCGTAATGCTTACTAAAAGGGGAAATGTGTACCCATTATTAAATGAATAAGATGAATATCGTAATTACTGACCAGGTATAACTTTATCGTGGAAAAGAACTAATAAATTAATAATAAGGCCTGTCTTTTATCGCTGAATTGGTGGAATTTACGGATTTGGTGGTATTTACGGAACTTAAAAAGAAATGGGTATAGTTGAGGCTTGGTAGAACAGAGAGGAGGAGAGAATTAGTGTAAGTTAGTGCAGCTAGTTCAGCAATAGAAAACAAATCTGTATAGACGTATTAGGCAAAATGTACAAAATTTATTTTGTTGGAAAGCTTGAACATTCAGGGCTTTAGCTGTGCTGCATTTCGCTAATTTATGAACAGATTTTTATTTACTCATAAAATCTTCGCAAGCATGATGCAGTACCACATTTAATGACATGTACATTTAAGTTTGTCCCAATTTGTGACATGTGTACTGCCAAAAGGTGGATACATTTTTACACTGAGAAAAAAATATTTTAAAAGTAACAAATATTTATTAGATGAGTATCATTAACATATTTACTTAAAAAATTTAAATTTAAATTAAATTTTCTTAAATTTTCTTTCGGTTTAAATTAAGAAAATTTAATTTAAATTTAAATTTTCTTAATTTAAACCGAATATTATTTATTTAAGTCATATCAATAATTCTCGGTTTAAATAAAGAGAATTTTTATTTAAGTAAATATGTTAATGATACCCACCTAATAAATATTAGTTTTTAGATATTTTTTTCTTCAGTGTATTATTGGCTATGACTAATAAAGACAATTATTACTGATAATTATTACTGATAGATACTGAGAAAAACTATGAGATACTATTTTTGTTGATATTATTGTTTTCATAGAAAAAATAAAGGTATTAGTAAAAGTTATTTATTTAATACCATATTTATGTGACTTACTTTATAGGTTAGAAATTCGTATCTGTACCGATTCTGGAGGAGTAACTTATAATATTTATGTTATCTCTTAATCTTGTTATAAATTATATTTACAAATCGCATTTTCTCTTTAGAAGTAAGAATGTTTATATTATTTTATGTCATATTTATTTATTTTAGCAGTTAGTAATGAAGGCAAATAAATATTTTAGTACAGACTAGTCATAAACTATCAATAAGATTAACTCGTTAATCTGTTATCGAAATTATATAATACGATAAACGAGTTTAATCAGTCGAATAGTCAGTTAAAGAATAGTTACAAAAGTCTGACATCTAATAATATAACGTAAATGAAAAAAATGATTATAAAAACAAACATGAAAAAAATGATTATAAAAACAAACATCAATATTAACCCTCAATTTTTAACATGTCGGCGAGTACCTGTTGCGTTTAGCAACATATTTATAATTATGATATTCCAGCACCCACTTTGGATCGTAATTTTATAAAAATTTGTTGCAACAAATAATATAAAATTATTATAAAATTGAGGGTGAAAACATACTTTTGGGAATAAATATAAATTTGTATCAGGGAATTTATAAAGAAAAACGTATGCAATTGTCACGAATTGGAACACTGTTGCTAATCGGGACATTCACTTTATACAAGGTGTCCGGTAGTTTACGGAGGAATCGCGATGCACAGGTAGATTAGCTAAAAAAAAAAATTCCTTTACCATTTTGGGAAAAACTATGTAAAATTTTGAGTTATTAATCAAAGAAGATTCACGAATAATCACGCGCCATACTGTGATGGCGACGTTTACCGCTGTATGCTTGTATATTAGATCAAATTGAGTAAAAAAGCCCTCTCTACCATTTCTTAAATGACTATGTAGATATTTAGTTATTAATTAAAGAAGATTAATGCATTATTGTACACAACTATACATGACATAAGCGGCAGATGTCATCATCACAGTTCATCTACCGTATGGCGCGCGATCATTCACGAATCCTCTTCAATTAATAACTTAGAATTTTACGTGTTGTTCGCAAAATAGTAGAGGAATTTTTTGTTCAGTTTGACCTAACCTGTACACCGCGGCTCTTCTGTGAGTTACCGGACACCCTGTATAAATGAAGCCGAATGCTAAGTATATAATATTGCAAATGTTTCAAGACGTCGGCGGAAGGTAAGATAATCGCAAGAACCGTTTCTCCATTAATTCCCGCGGTATATCCAACCGACAAAAATTCCGTCGAAATATAAAATACCCACGACGCGAAAGAAGCGAAGGTACACACAAAGGATGACAGCTTCAGATTGAATTTTCGATAAGGGGGAGAAAGAGAGAGTCAGGTTCGATCTGCCGAAGGCAAAGTCCTGGTACTTTATACACATCTTATGTCACGTCCGGTATATTGCGTATTCATCGATAACAGAGAAATACGCGTGACGAACGTATTCATAGTAGATTATAAGAAACAGCAATTATAGCCGTCTAGGTGAGACGATCCGGCGATGAGATATACTTAGCCGATAGCCATTCGCGGCGCTCTCTCGCCGATGTATTTACATAAGTACTACCGAGTTATTGCGGATCTATACCGCCGACACAAATTACACGCGACGGTCAGTCGGCTGGAATATCTGGGATATCTCACTTTCGTGTGTAATTTGCGATCTCATTTTAGCCGCGGCGCGCGATACGCCGTAAAAATAATTTGCCGAGCGGCCGGACTAATAGATTTCACGCTTTTTCACGTCGACGAGATGAAAAGCGATGCGCCGCCGCTATCTGCACGATCGTTCTGCATTCGCTCAAATCGGCCGTCCGAACGGCACGGATCATTTCGAGTAGTGTGTAAGTTATTATCTCGATATAAATTACAGCTCAAGTACAAAAGGCGGGTGTACAAGATGCTGCATTTGGACGAGAAGCAGCTCAAGGCAATGCACACCAGGACGAATTTGCGAAGGTTACTGGATTATGTGGCGAGTAGTCAGGTGGAGAAGATCGCAAAGATGTGCAGCAAGGGGTTGGATCCCAATTTCCACTGTCAGGAGACAGGAGGTAATTCCTATACGGGGTGTCCCACAGTTGCCGCGACTTTGATTTGTACCAACAGATTCTCTGAGCAATGCAGGGTTCATTTTTCCTCATCGAAAACGTCGAGACATCAATAGTTACGAGATACAAGCGATTGAAAAAGCCGAGCTTTTTGCAAATTAAACTTTGAACGATCAAATGAATAATGAAATGTTTTTTTTTTTCGTTGATTTCAAAAATTCGTTGATTTGAAAAAGCTTTTCGCAAACTAAACTTTGAACGACTAAATGGATAACGAAATGATTTTTCTCCGTTTAAAATTTAAAATGAATTTTAATTTAAATGAAGTTTACTTTAGCTTTGGTTATAAAAATATGTTATGCTGAAAATTGAAAAGTCGCCATGAATAATAATCTCTTTCGACATTTTTGATGACAGAATATTATTTCCAAATTGTTCAGAGAACATTAAAATCGTAAAGTTTAGAACATTCTGTACATATACCATTATAAGCACGCAACAATCGAACAGCTGTCGCAAGCGAATAACCGTAATTTTTATCTGTTAGTTGTTGAGATCTATATATACACAATATTACAAATACAAGAAATATTATTCTTTTTATTTTCTTTATTAATGCATTATTTGTGCATTATTTGATTTAAAGATATACATAAATAATAAAAAGAGGTATATAAGTGTTTAAATATGTGTGTATGTATATATATATTTATTATAAGAGATATCTCTCTCTTAATACTCTATCAATTTTAATATTATAATAATAATATAATATTATAATATTATAATAATCTTTAATAATTTGTATGTATACATATAATGTCGATATATTAATCTTTAATATCACCCATAGTAATATTAAAATCCTAATTTAATTAGAAAAGTCAATAAAAAAATTAATAATAGAAGTTGAAGATAGAAGTTAAATATAGCAGTAATAGAAGTTAAAAATAGCATATAAACTCCAAGGAGAAAAATATTATAATTTAAATTTCAAATATCTCAATTCTCGAATAGTAAATTTTATTTTAATTGCATGAGCAGTTAGATAATATTTCAATCTATATATAGTGAAAATTTCAATAAATTTGTAAGAAACTCATTTTGCCTTACAATCTTCTTAATATCTCAAGATTTGACCTGGAGACTTGACAATGTTTTATCGTAGAAGAGACATAAAATTACAGAATGCTTTTTTACATTTTTATATCCGTAAAATTTAGCGAGTGATTATTCAAAACGGCTACTAAAACGGTCTTTTCATTTGCAATTTTAGAAACGCCGTTGACCTTGGCGACAACTTTAAAAAAGCCGTCAAAAGTCATAATCGCATTAGTCAATGGCGGCGCTCTGCTGGACTATCGAACGAAGGAAGGCTTGACGGCGATGCACCGCGCCGTTGAGAGAAACAGTCTGGAGGCGGTGAAAACGCTTCTGGAGCTGGGGGCCAGTCCGAACTACAAGGATACGAAGGGCCTGACGCCGCTCTATTACAGCGTCATCTACAAAACCGATCCGATGCTCTGCGAAACGTTGCTTCACGATCACGCGACGATAGGAGCGCAGGATCTCCAGGGCTGGCAGGAAGTTCATCAGGTTTCGCTTGTTTCTTCTCGCAGATTATTTGCTTTGGATAAGAAACTGATGTCGAGATAAGGAAGGATTAATAACGGCGAAGTAATAAGAGCCTTTCCTTGTCGACATTCCTGCTGTATGAATCAACGGATTTCGGCGAAATCAAATCGCGCTTATCTTTTTATCGCTTACTAACATAATTCGAATCAATTAAATGTCTCTTTGCCACTTATGTTCTTGTACAGCACATTAAATCAACTTTTCTTAAGACTCCTGATCGTGGAACTTGTGGTTGACGACTTGATTGACGTTAGAAGCGAGAAAACGTACACCCGAAATTCCTACAAAGTACGTTGAAATAAAAGGATATATTAGTAAAATGATACCGATGCGATCGATTCAGCACATTTACAAGATATCCTGGAAACTTTCTTTTTGCTCTAACAATCAATAAATAATTATAAAATTAACGTTACCTTCCTGCTTAACAGACTGAATAAAATTGCATAAAAAAATGTATGTAGTACACTGGTTTGCTTTAAAAAATCACGTATATAAAAATCTGAATTGTATTTTTGATGAATAATAGTAAAATTATATAGGAAAGTATGTATATTCAGATAAATGTGTTTAATCATTTACTATAATATTTAATCGTTAAAAATTAAAAGCTAAATATAAAACATGAAGAAAATTGATAACCTTTTTATGTAAACTATAATATGAGAAAACTATAATGTGAAATTTTTGATAGAAATGATAAGTTCAGATAAACTCATATAGTATTTCAATGGGATTTGTACATATTCCTATCAATCTTCATCGAATTTTTTAATAAGGTGTGCAACCTTCATTTTTAACCTTTTCTCATGATGTTGTCATGTTGATTTTACAGTTATTTATTGAATAAAAGGAAAATTTTTGGAATATCCTACAAATGTGCTCAATTGATCACAAATATCACTTTATTGACATATTTTTTTATATCAACGTATTCCGCGAGAATTTTAGGCACGCGTATCATCTCTTCCTATATCATTAAGATGTCTCCCTACTTTAACACTTTGAAAATAAAATAAGTTTTGAGAATTTTTCGAAATAAATGTATGTATTACAATTACAAACTTTATACGTTTATTGAACAATATTTGAAGAATGTACTTAATTTATTATAAGTCATAGTAACAATAATATTCAAAGTTATTTTAGTGAAAGCGTTTGAAAAATAGTGTGTTGCTGGCGAACATGATTCTAGTCGTTGTAGTTATCTGAAACAAAAACCAAAAAGATTCTTAATCTGTATTATAAGTCTGGCTATCGCATGAACTAGAATAAATAAAAAATATTGAGAAAAGAAATGGCAAAAATTTTTAAAAACAACTTTGTTTTTTGACAAAAAAGTCGTTAATTTTTTTTATTTTTTTGTCACACAATTCGAATTTGGAAAATGATGACTTGATTCTAGTCTGTGAAAACAGGACATACTGAATATATCCTCAAAATTTCAAGTCACTTGGTTCATTGTTTTTTGAAATATCGTGTTCGCTGCTCGAAAAATACGTTTCAAGAAAAACGTGTTTAAAATTTTAGATACTGTTTTAGAATATATAACAAGCAATACTTACAATTAATCAGTTATTCCGGAGCCATTTAGCTGTAATACTTTAGGAATATATTTTTGAAGTGTCAAACTGTAAGAAAATGTAAAAAAATCGATTTTTACGACTCGTCAAAGTAGGGAGACCCTTTAATTAAAATGGTCGCGGTGAGAAAACAAGAACCTCAACTCTTGATACTAATTTAATTCGCATTATATTGCGTATTAATTAGGGTATTAGTGAGGGCTCTTACACTTTTCTTTTTTCACAAGTCTCACGGCTCTCCGTGCAGAGCAAAGCCTCGGCCCGCGCATCGTTTCATTCATGAATCTTGCGCGCGTGCGCGCGCGTACAGAAAAGGAATACTCGAATCAGCGCGTCACGATGTACGCGAGAGATCGCGGAGAATGCGGTTAACTCCGCCGAACGATTTCCGCGCCTAATACACGCACCGTCGTTCGCAGGCATGTCGCAACAATCTGGTGCAGCATCTGGACCACCTGCTTTTCTACGGCGCTGACATGAACGCGCGCAACGCGTCCGGTAACACGCCGCTGCACGTGTGCGCGGTGAATAACACGGACGCCTCGTGTATACGTCAGCTACTCTTCAGGGGCGCGCAGAAGGACAGCCTGAACTACGCGAACCAAACGCCGTACCAAGTCGCCGTGATCGCCGGCAACATGGAGCTCGCCGAAGTCATCAAGAACTATCAGCCGGAGGAAGTCGGTGAGTTATGGGCGTCATGAAATGTCAAAAATCGAGCTCTCGCTCGAGGACGGCGGTGGCGAGGGTGAGAGGGAAGGAGGGCAGAGAGGGAGAAACGCGCGGGGGTGAACGTTGTGAGAGGGGATTCGGACAGAAGACTCGCTCGAGAAGAGGTCGAGGCATGATGCTGCAAGAATAAACGACAGACGTTGACGATCTCCTTCGTCTGCCTCCCCCTGCGCGTTCTCACTCGTTCTTTCTCCCTCTTTCTCTCTCTCTCTCTCTCTCTCTTTCTCTCTCTCTCTCTCTCTCTTACTCTGTCTCTCTTTCTCTTTCTCGTCTCCGAACATTGTTCCGTCCGTTCCCGCGAGTCTCCGCGCGCAACGACGATAGCCGGCGTACTGGGTCTTCCTTCCGGGATCACGAATGGGACGTACCGTACTCGGTGGAAGACGGATAACCGTAATCTCATTACTCGCCGGGACTTTTTCATATTCATTCGCCACACCCGCGCGACGATCGACGTGACTCGGGTCGATTCTAATCTCTTGTTTACGAACGTGTACGCGCTTTTATTAGATAAGCCCGAAACTCTCTTTCTCTCTCTCTCTTTCGGTGCACACAGAAAAGTATCATACCGTTCTGCTAAGAAAATCGATTACTCTGTTTATCTTCCTTCCTTTGAATAACGGTTATCTTCAACAAAGAATATTTTCTTGATAATAATATTAAAATACGCTCATCACAAATGTAAGAATCTTATGAAACTTCATCGAAAGAAAAGTTGCTTCGACTCTACGTAATAAGCAAGCTGAGAAGTTTTGTTTTCATTTAATATTCTTCATTGAGATGGCTCTGGGACTTAGAATGTATTTTGAATAGATTTGATACTGATGAGATGAACTTATGGTAGATTTGCGGATGTATAAACTTATGAAATACTTGAAACAAGTTACATGAATGCAGTTTTCTGTGTGTACTACTTAGATGTCGAAGTTCGGTCGCGGTAAATACCCGACGATACAACACGACGGGTCTCTAGGATTTTCCTCAGGGTTGGGTAACAACTAGTCTAAAGTTAGATTAACAAGTTAAGAACTTTTAATGCTTAGTTAATTTTAAATGACTAACTTTTAACTTAATTTGTAAATGGACTCGTGGAGGTCAAACTGACCTCTCTCTCTTTCTCTTTCTCTCTAGACGCATACATAAATGTTGAACGTTTCTTCAAATCATATTATGTGAAGAGATATTTTTTAAGGATAGACTTTTAACTTGTAATGCGCTTGAAAATTGTTAAAACATATCTTAGTTTACATCTATTTAAACTACCAAAAATAAAAGATTGTACGTCAAAAAAATCACGCGCCTGCTTAAGGATTAAACTAGTTATTTCCAAATGCGTTAACTTTAGCGTTAACTTTCTTATATAAGTTCAAATAATTCGTCAATATCGTAATCATTGCGGGCTGCTTGCAATGCAGAATACAAAAAGTCAAAAATAATGCAAAAATATTTTTTTCGTCTTTCTGAACGTCAGTGTTCTTCTCTTGTTTGTAAGTACAAAACAATCGGTATTCTTTTATTAAGACTACTCTCTTTGCATTACTCGACATAAATTTAACCTACGATTAAAGAGTTAATTATACAAAAAACATACGCATTGATTCGCGTAATTATTTTTTCAATAAATTAATTTAACTCGACTTTGAATTAAGTTAGTTTCTATTTATATGTACTTTTAACTGAACTAAGTTAATTTTATAAATCACTATCTTAAAACTTAAAGTAGTAAAAATATTAACTTACCCAACCCTGGTCTTCCTATAATCTCGCGATCGTATCTCAACGCGGAACGATTCATCAGAATAACTCATTGAAGGCTTTTAAATGTCGACTACGTCGCACGTCGATATCACCGATATTGTTCGTACGTTTCGCAGCACTTAATGAAGATTACCTGCGATTGTTTGCCGCAGAAACAAAAAGAAAGAGATAACGCGCGGCCGCGAGGCGTGATGACGTAACGGAGATCGCGACGGCCGCCGCGGTTATCTGATAAGAAATGAAATCGCGGCCTAGATATCGCGCAGGCATTTATTTATACGGCATGATTAACTCAGCATGGCACGAAGCATGTGCATGTCGCTTTTCTCCTGTATATAGAAGTAGACGTTAGCAGGTGGTTAGTAGTTGTCATGTGAGTAGCTAGTTAGTTAGAGGGAGTGCCTCCGGAGCTGTATATATTTACGAGGCCTATATTTTGAGTGTGACTGACACGTATCGTAAATGTGACTCAATATACCTGTGTCTGTGTGCTGTGTGACAAGTACGTAAAAATTACAATCATGTCATGGGATTTTTGGTGGTGATGGTCGTGTATGGCGTCGAGTATCATTTGTGGTACCAAGGAGAAGTAACGACACAACCTTTTGATAGATTGCTTTCCAGTAACTAATGGTACTGTATCTTTGGATCACTGTCGAATGGATCGGTGCTGCCAGACGCCGCGGAATCGCGCGTTATGTCGCTATGAAATTGGTCGATAAGTGTAAAATTTGCAAATAATTGAGTTGCCCCGAATTTGTTCCTAAATATCTGGTATTGTGGAACAAACGAGCAAATTTTTCGAATTTCAGAAGATTATATAAAAGAGAAAACGATAAATTTATACATTTAGTTTCAATTCATATATTAAATTCAATAAGTCAAGAAATGAACTCTTGACTTTTCTTCCCGGTGAAAAAAATCTCATCTCTTGACGAACACGCAAGTTTAACCTAATGCGAAATATTTTTACGCGATATCAACCACAAATCCACACGATCATTGCGTCGTATTATCGTTTCCTCTGGCAGCATTGAATTTGCAAGAGTGTCTTGACTAGTAATGTTTGGTAGTTCGAGATACGTTGTGAATCCACGTGGCCTCGCGGATCGTCGGAGTCCCTGGTGCTCAGGAACATGAAGAGACACGTTCCCCATAAAACCCGACGACCCGCCGACGACGACGTCGATCGTTTGTGCACATGACGTATTCCGACGAGACTTACTACCCGTAATCTCGAGCACATTGTATCGCACAAAACGGATACAACGCAACGCGCGAGGATGGAGTCGTTATCCTTGCGTATGCTTTCTACCGCTTTCCCGTCTATACAGGGTGTCCCAGAATTGACGGCTGATTATACACGGCGTTGCTTTCGGCGAGGAAAGACCAGTGTTTTCCGTGACGTTTTACGTTTCGATATCTCGCGCGTTGAGTCTCAGATTAAAATCCCATTAGACCAAAGCCCACTAAAGTGGACTTGAAAGTGTGACTTGAAAGAAAATATTTCACTGTTTACTCCCGTCCCGGGTACAAACTTAATACGCGTAGAGCCTGCCATTGTCAACGGCTTACAATTCGAAGATCGTTCGATGTCACGGTGTCCTCGCTGACGTAATTTGAGGAGTAACGCCACATTTCCGCTTGCCGCCGGTTCCGACGCACCCTATACGAGTCGGCACTTGAAACGACGTGAAGCAGTTTCTGGTTGTCCGTGGTTGCCCGGGGAGAGCAACCAATAACCATCATCGTTGCCATCGTGAAGTAACATTGTGCGTGCGTGCGTGCGTGCGCGCGTGCGCGCGTACGTGCGTGCTTGTGTGCGACGGCGACCGCTTGTAAATCCGCTTTGCAAAAATCTCGCACGACGATCTGCCGTGACACCGGAAGATCGATCGTGGAACGGAGCCTCGGCCCTGTATCCCGAACGTAACTCTTCGCTTGAGCGTGATGTACGATGTAACGCGCGACTAACACGCTCGCTCATCGACGAAACGCGGATAATGACGGCGTATAAATGTCGACGCGATACTTAGCGCACGGCGATTAAGTGATTTGTTCGGTATTTGTCTAGGTCACGAAACAACGTTCCCCTCGACGGCGCGTATCACGTAGTGGCTCTCGATACATTGATTATCCGTAACCCTAAACAGTACAAGCGGCGCTCGATTAGCCGTCCTTATCCTCGTGACTCTACGGAACCTGCCGTTTTACATGCGAGAAGTTCGATAAACTTCATTAGGACTGTGTAGAGTACAAAATTTATACATGACTATGGAAAATGTCCGGCGACCGACGTATTTGGTGAACAGAGCGAAAGTATTCCTCGTTGAAAAGTGTAACGGTCATTTCGTTGACAAAAAAAAAATCGGATAGAAGCTTTTGAGAAAGATATCTCGGCAATTGTATTTTGAATTGCGAGATTCTCTTAAAGCAAATTAAAGAGAACTCGAAGTCAACTCGAAGAGTAAGTGTTGCTTCGAACTCTTGAAACGTTATCTTCATCCTCAATGCGCTTCCTTATCGATTGATTGCAATTAGAAATGCATTCTTGTCATTCAGTTCTCGCTAAAAAAGTTGGAAAATTTGATAAGAGGAATATTGCCACATGCTCCAAATACATTTATTACTAACCGTTCTATACATCTTTTTATATAATAGTGTTCGTATAGTTTGATGAAATCAGGGTTGTATAATAACTAATTAATCGGTTAAAAGTTATGTTAAAAAATTAATATCTTTTAATTTACCTTAGTTAACTTTACACACGTCAACTTTCAACTTAAACTAATTATTTTAAAATGCATCAACTTTAATTTATTAATCTTTTTTTAATGTAAGTTAAAATAATACATTAGCAAAATCACACGTAGCCGACTGCTTACAATATAGAATAAGAAAAATAAAAAATAATGCCAGCATATTTTTTTTATCTTTCTGAACTCGTGTTCTTTTTTGTACGCAAATCTGAGCAAAAGTCGGTATTTTCCTATTAAAAGATTATATTTCCTATTTAAAGATTATATTTTTTTTATAATTTTATATAAATGTAATTTACAACAAAAAAGTTAATAACGTTTAACGATAGTTAATTTTTAACTTTAATAAGTTAATTTAATTTTAACTTTGCTTTGAATTAATTGATTTCGTTTATATAACTTTCAATTTAATTAGTTCCAAGTTAATTTTATAATTTTACAAATTCATATATATATATATATATAACTTATAGTTAAAAAAAACTAATCCAATTCTATAACTCAATCCAACCCTATAAAATATAAAGTGCGCGACAACTCGCGGTATGAAGATAGAACACATCAATTTAAGCAAAAAGTTCTCTACCATTTTTCAAGCAACCATAAGAAATTTTGAGATACAATGAAAAAGACGAATTAGGACGCGAGATCTTATCGAAAATCGCTAAAACAAAATTGTTTTTTAACGACACGCACACTGCGCGATACATTAAGTAACAATTGTCTGTATGTCGTTCGCATCATTATTCCGTCTTCAATTGTCAGCCGATATCTATCCGCGCTGATATCGTTTTTTAATGAGAAAACTGATGCAGCACAAACGTTGTGCCAAGGGAAAACTGCACTAATGTAATAATAGTGCAAGTTTAGTGAAGTTCAGTAGAACATTACATTATACTCTGTTTATACAATCATTATACACTCTGTTTATACAACAACCACATAATCTGAAAATTACATTACATTATACTCTGTTTATACAATCATTATACACTTTGTTTATACGACAACCACATAATCTGAAAATTATAATAAGGATTAAATTATTTATTACAAAATGGAAAGCAACGAATTAATATTTTAATTAAATAATCAAGTTTATTCTTTTGATACTGGATATATGGAAATTAATAATGTCAAACCAATAGAAAGTTTTAAATAATGTTGTTATATAATATTATATAACATTTTAAATAAGTAAAATACAATAATAAATATATTGTGATAAATAATTTTTTAATTGAATACATATTTATTTCTAGAGGATAATAAATGTGCAGTTGCATGTATAATGAACTTAGTTGAAGGTAATAATTCTAAGATATCCATTTTATTGTGTTTGTTTATATTATAACTTCACCTATAATTATAAAAACAAATAATAATACTATCTTAAATTGTTTACTTTACAATAATATTATCTAACTTATTTAATTTTTTTTTTATTTTTTAAGATTTCTAAATGTCAAATTATTAAGGCGCAGTTATTACACACTTTAAAACTAAACGTGATATTGTTGTTATAAAATTTAATAATATAATATATATATCATACTTTAAATTGCGAACACAATCTCAACTTCAACTTGTACTAGCATTCCACCGTTTTTAAAGACGGTGGAGCAAAAGTTGCGCTCAGTGCAATTTCTTTATACCAGTAGAACACTAAACATTGAAAATATGTGAACTGATTTTCACAGTGGAACAATAAACTTGCATTCAATGTTGCACAAGTGTTGCACTAGTTTTCTCAATGGAAAACACTATAAGAGGCAGACGCGTTTCAATTATTTTCGATGAGATAAAGTTGATTCCATAACATCGTACACTGTGATTCGTCAACCTTTTTTCATTAATATTAAGAAATTTTACGTGGTTGTTTGAAAAAGGAGACGTTTTGTTCAGGTTGATACATTCCACCTGCACACTACGGTTGCGCCGTAAATTACGGGATATATCCTGTGTATCGCGTCGACTTCTTTCTCCCCCTTCTCTTCTTTTCTTCCCTCTTCTCCTCTTCTTCCCCCTTTTCTATCTTCTAGAAGAAACAATTTTTTACTGTTTAGGGTTTAACGTTATTGGCTACATTGCGTTCTTTCTGATCGCGAATCGCGGTTCCGACAGCGACGGCGCGTCAGCCGACGAAATTTCACGATTCGCCCTTGAAGATTCGCGCCTCGCCCGCGAGAAGATAACGAGGTCGCGCGCGCGCGCGTCCCTACTTGTAAGGCTAAGTAATCCTTTCTTTACTTAACCTTGCAACCCTCGATTTTCCAGTACCGTTTAAAGGGCCGCCACGCTACAACCCGAAGCGACGCTCGGTGGCCTTTGCCGGCACCTCAATGATGACGACGAGCTGCTCGGCGAGTAATCTGGGCACCCTCACCAGGATACCGTCCACCGAACAGCACGCCGCGGCGTCTATCGCCGCCGGCGGCACCCTCACCAGAACCGTCTCGGTGGAACAGTACGCGAGTATCACGAGAGTATCGTCCGCTGAGCAATACGCCACCGCGGCGAATCTGAACCGAGTACCGTCCACGGAGCAACCGTACCCTCCACCACCTCCGTCGTCCACCAGCGGTGGCACGCTCGTCCGGGTCGCGTCCGAGGAGAAGTACGCGCAGCACGGTGTGCTGAGCAGAGCCTCCTCCGGCGAACGATACGACCCGGTCGCCACCCTGACCAGAGTACCGTCCTCTTCCGAGAAGTACCCGACCAGTACACTGACCAGAGTACCGTCCACGGAGCAGTACCCGGCCGTCGCGGCGAGCCTGAGTAGAGTACCGTCCACGGAACAGTATCCCTCCAGCGGTAGTGTCGTAAACGTGGAGTCGACCGCCGCGAGCCACCATCACGGAAGCCTCGGCAGAGTACCGTCCGTAGAGTCAAGCAGTCGAAACGACTTACCGAGAATACCGTCCGAACAGAACGGCCACCGACTGACGTCGGAGTACCAGAGCCCGAACTCCTTGAGAGATCCTAACGCGAGGTAAGCATAAGAGGCCGCCGCCTTCGCGATCTACGATGAGATCGCGAACGAGATCGCCCCGCCACTGATGATCGCTGGGAGAGAGCGCGGTAAGATCGCGGTAAAAAAGAAAAATTAAAGAAAAAACAAAGAAAACGAAAGAACGGATACTCGCACGAGAGGGAGGACGATGCTCTTCTCCTTCTCCGAGTTCTCCTCTCCGAGCTTAGCGGTTCAACAAAGACAATTTGCGTTCATCTCGCGTCGAAACTCCTCCTCTTCCTTTTCCTCCTCCTCCTCCTCCTCGTCGTCGTTATGAGGAACAGCATTCGTTGTTTGGTACACCCGCGCTCGTCCCGATGCTTCGCTCCGACCAGGACGATCCGCGCGCGTTGATCTCGCCTTGGTCGGCGTGAAGCACGGCCGATCGCCGGTGTACCCTAAGAGTTACACACCATTTCAAGATTACCGGCAGCCGCGGAGAATTATCAGAACTTAAGAATGGAGGGTCTGACGAGGCTGCAAGAGCACCGGCTCGAGCTGCAGCACCGCCTCGATATGCACAGAACGATGGAGATGCCGCCGTCGCCGTCGCCGAGCAGCAGGAGTTTAGCGCCTTTCAGCTCGGCCAGCTCGAGCTTGTCCGAAGGCAGCAATCAACCGTCCGGCGAGGACTCGGCCAGCATCGTCACAGGTACACTATTCTCTTTCTCTCTATGCCCCTCCCTGCCCCCTCTACGTCCGTTCGTCGATGGTGAGGGGACCAGAGTTCGGAAATCTGCTCCTCGATGACCCATAAACTGCGGTCGACGAGCGTCATCTAGAGAGAGTCAACTGCCAAAAAAAGGTACGAGGATGCGGAACCTCCTGTCCCTTTATCGAGTCTGCCGAGTTGCTTTTTCGCGTTGCGACGAAGCGGCGCGACCTGGAGCGCGTCCAACGACTAGCGATTATTAAATGACACCATCGTTCACGCACATCATCACCACCAAAAACCGACGAAGCGAAGGTGGTCGAGCGACACTATGAGAGAGAGTTTGCTCGGACGTTGGCTTTGATGGTTCGTGCATGCTTCCGTTTTTGGTGTCCCCGAGGATATTAGAGAGTCCAAATTGATTCCTCCTTGCTCCCAGCGAGTTGGGCTGGACTAAAGTCTCGCGCAGGCGGCAGAGACACGTTGCGCTTAATCTCTTAGAGACCGCGCCCTTAGGATGCGGACGAATGCGACGCGGCTGACGATTTAGAGCTCTTTTTGCCATCGTGTAGAGCACACTTAGGCACAGAGCCGAGTTGAGTTGATTTTTTGAGGTCGAACACGCTGAGGTTTTCATTTAGCGTTAACAGTCAGTTCTGTTCTCTCTCTCTCGCTCTCTCTCTCTCTTTCTCTCTCTCTCTCTCTCTCTCTCTCTCTCTCTCTGCCTCTCTCTATCTCTCTTAAGGATTTCAAACTTGCATGGCGTTTATCGCTCGGTAAGGTGACGCAGGCCAAACGAAGCATCGTGCTGAGTATCCGACCGTTGTCGATTTCTAGACAAGAGCCTCGGCGACACAGCGTCCGACGTGATCAGCGACAGTTCCGGAGTGGGAACCTCGCAGTCCGACACGACCAATTCGTTATCCATTCCCGGTACGACGGTGGTCTGTGTCGAAAGTTACAACAGCGGCATCACCGGGCACCTGACTATCAATCAAGGCGACATCCTCGAAGGTACACCACTAGGCAATCCGAACGCACTATCCTACCACTCTTGTTTAGCTCTCCCCCCTTGACGGTGATGTTGAACGTCGCTCTCGATGTGTTCTGTGATTTTCTACGTGTGTTCCCCGTAATTAACACGATATGTAATTAACATCGCGTTCCGTGATCTGGGACGACAGCCGTCTCTCATCTCTGTCTCTCTCGATTTCTGTTTTGTAGGTAACGCCCAATATCTTTCTGATAGCAAGCGTGTTTTTGTTTCTTTATTTTTAACAGTCACCGGTGCTACTGACTGCGGCCTCCTGGAAGGGGTCCTGCGCGGACAAGGAACTGGCCTGTTTCCTGCGCATTGCGTTCAGGAGGTCAGACTGCGTCACACAAATATACCGTTGGGCCCACAACCCGCCAGAGACGGACGGAACAGAGTCTTGGGCCGCAGAGAATCACAGCACAAGTACTTTGCTACTGCGCCCAGATTAAAGAAGCCGTAAGTAGGATGATCGAGAAACATCGCGAGAGAGCGACTCGATATAACGACTTTGTACGAATCTACAGTGTCACGTCGGAACCCCGTACTGTCGTTCTTCATCGCTCGAGAAAAGGTTTTGGTTTCGTGCTACGTGGCGCCAAGGCCACTTCGCCGCTCATGGAATTGACGCCGTCCGCCAGATATCCGGCGCTGCAGTATTTGGACGACGTCGATCAAGGAGGTGTGGCGGATCTAGCGGGACTCCGGAAAGGAGATTTTCTTATTCAAGTAAGTTTTGCAGACTTGGTTCTCGAGTTAAAACTTTGAATAGTACAAAAGATATTTCTCATAATTCTTTTTAATTTTTTTTTCCAAAAGTGTCTTTCACAACTTGATACAGTAGTAGTAATTTGCATTCGTTAAGGCTCTTGTTTTCCCGTCGCAGCCATTTTTATTTATGACATTAGAAATGAAAATACACATTAAAAGTTCTTGTAAAGAACCTTCAAGTAAAATAATGCTTGCAATCGATCGAGCAGTTCTACAGAATAGTTCGGACACTTTTCTTTTGCTTTAACGGTCAACAAATAACCATAAAATTAACATGATATAATCATGAGAGAACATAGATTAAAAAGATAGAATGCGTATTTTACGATAATTTATTGATTGTTAGATCAAATGTGTTCAGATTATTTTATAGGTCCGCTCGATCGATTGAATGTATAATTTTATGGGTATATTGTTTTATTTCAATATATTTTGCAAGAATTTTGAGCGTATACTCCTTTTGACGTCAAAAGTTCCGCAATAAAGAACCAAGAACTTCAAAACAAATCGTATTCTCACGAAAATCTTACAGATCAATGGTGAGGACGTGACGACGGCGTCCCATGAACGTGTGGTCGATTTGATCAGAAAGTCGGGAGAGTTGGTGCGAATGACCGTGGTCTCGCCGGTGATCAGTCTTCCGAATTCCCAATCGGCGGCTGCATTGCCAACTAGTCAACCCATCCAGAGACAGTATGCAACTTTACCGCGCAAGGGCAATAACAACGTGGTGATTGGTGGTACGCTTGGCAGGTCTCCAGCTCCCGTGCCACCGCGAAGGGACCCAAAGACCACGTTAAGTGTAGGTCGAGCGAGAGCGCGGTCGATGGTCGCAGGATTAGGTAATAAATTAGACAGAGTCCTGCTTGAGGGACTGACATGAATGATGCTGCGTATAACAGCCGTTTTTCATTGTGTTTCCATGCAGAAGGAGGTGGTGAGAGAGATGATCGTGATGAGATCGCGTCGACGGGCGCAAAGTCGAGCAGCGCGGAATCGATCCATCTGCCGCAGCAGCCGTCGACCGGAACCAACACCGGTCAAAACACGCCGGTGCAACCGCGAACAGCCAGCATCCGGTCCAGACCGACCTCCAGCAGGATCACCGCTGCGGAACTCGAAGTAACTATTCTTACAGCCCTATTCTGTTTGACACCCCAGTGCTACTATTGTCCTCTTGCTCTGAATCTGTGCGCTCGTTGTACCTATTTGAATGGCATTTGCACGTGACGACCGAGGCTTGAGCTTCGTCCTTAATTTCTCTTCCAGGAACTATTTCAGCGGCAGCAGGGTAGCGCCGGCAGTCAGTACAGCTCGTCCATGATGAGCTCTCACTTTCAGACCGGTCAGTCTACCAAGTCGCATCCGTCGTCGCCCGCTAAGACCGGCAGGGTGTACGCGAGCGTGGCGGAGATGAAGCGCAAGGGCAAAGTAAGGATATGACGGCACTTTCAAAGTTACGAGCTCGCGCACTCGCGCGCTCTCGCTCACTCGGTTTCTCGACACGCTCTTAATGTTCTCCCTCTAGTCGAATAAGCCCCTTGGCGAGAGCGAAAGCTGCCCTAAAAATGGATGTTAACGTATTTATTTGTTCGTTTCATTCCGTAGTATTTTATTAAACTTTAACGACCCCCTTAGACTTTTGCTACTTTTGATCAACCCCTTACTCTCCAATACACGTTTCTCTTTCTCTGCTCGTTTCTCGTATCGTAATTCGTCGGTAGTAATCGGTTGATACTTCCGGAGTATAAGGATTAACCCCCCCTATGAAAAGTCTACCAGCGTCGCCGGGCGTTCAGTGAATCCTCCTCTCTGGGCAATGGTAACGGTGGTTGTTCTTTTTGCATGTGTGTTATAGTTTGCGCGCAAGCCGGTGCGAGTGCACAACAAGGGGCGTTCCTGGTGCGGGCGAGACGACGAGGACTACTACTTATATTACTGATCGAAAATACTTTGTTTCTAGCTCGTCCGTGGCTTGCATGATTTCAGGTGACTAAGCTATTTGCTAACGAAAAAGAAACGAAAGTGATCTGACGTCCACGAGGGCGTCAGGTGCCACCTACAGCTTCGTGTTCACGCCTTGTATGATTAATAATTGCGCATTTCTTTAACCCGTTGCGATCCTTCAGTTCCTTGTGTCTCTTGGGGATCGGTTCTAAGCATGAAAGACCGACAGTAACGTAATTATCTGTTCCTCGTTCATATTCCTCATATTATACGGCAATAATATTTTACTAGCATTGATGACAGACAGTAATGGTAGTGGGTTATCAAGCATTAGCCACGGTAGCTTCGAGTTCACGCTTAGCAGGACTAAACGCTTCGTCTCCATGTCAAATTGTTCCACTAATTGTTCCAATATCACCTTTGCTCCTTCGTTGTTTCATCGGTGTTCCTTGTTCATTCACCAGTGTCCACCACTTGTAAACCACAATTCCACAATTACAATCTTCACGCTCCGAGTTTTTTCGAATTAGCAAGGCGGCGATGCCAGTTCACAAGTTGCACCTTGTACGAGCCCGTGTTGTCCTTACGTTTGCAGTCGCACTCGAGAGTACGCTTCTTCGGTGGCTTGGGCGGCGGTTCCGATCTTCACAGAGACTTCCATAGCACGCCTGATCTCAATGTGCAAGTGCAGTCGTCGTCCCTCCTGGCTCCCAAAGGACACAGAAGCCAGGAGGACGTAAACGCCCTGAACGGTAGAAACGGGCTTCCACCACCGAACCATCCGCCGCCACCTCCGCCGGTCGGACAAGTCGTTAAAGTGAATGTCGGTGCCAACGTACCGGACGTTGTTACTCCGGCTTCCGTTTACGACAACATGGCGCACATTCAACAAGTCAAAGGTGAATTATCGTTCCTATCAGGCTTCTTTAACATTTTCCTTATCGTTTTTTTTTTATTTAATGTTACCACATCTGATTTTATTTACAGAATTAGCGGCGGCCACGGTCGAGGGTGTCTACGGTGTAATGTCGAGCTTCCGACCGTCGAACAGTGCAAAGTTGTACGCCTCACCGGAGGACATGAAAACCGTCGGATATCGTTCGCGTAGTTTACCGGCGACTCGCTCACACATCAGGAAGTCCCACAGTCTCCGCGCGCCCAACACGACGTTCAAGCCGCCCGGTAGCCAACAGACGTTAAACAACAACGCGGTGGCTAATAGCTGCGCCAACGGAAATGCCAACAACCAGTACGCGCAGCCGTTGAAGACCAACAGGAGTCACAGCATGGTCGGCATCCGCGAGCGCAAGAAGAAGAGCATGAGCGCTAGCTCATCCGTCACGAATCTCTCGTCGATCGTGTCGTCCGGCGCCAATGGTGGGCCCACACCGCCCAGCTCGGCGCCGCCGATCCCCGAGCCGGATTACAGTCTGTCGGAATCGGAGAACGATGACGACGAGGGCGAAGACGAGACGGACGAGGACGGTGAGTCGGAAATTGCGAAGGAGCTGGAGAAGGCAGCTGCGCGCGAGAAACTCGAAGCGACGCGAGAAACATCGGGCAATTCCAACACATCCGGCTCGAGTTCGTCGGGTAGCGGCTCATTGCCGCATTCATTCAGCGTCGAGGAAATTCAGAAGGTGCGCACACAGCTGAAGTCCTCCAAGAGTCATCCAAACGACTTTTTGCTACAGCAGACACAGCAATCGCTCGCCGAGGATGGTGACAATAGTTCGAGCGGTGTCAGTTCCGATCAAGATATACCGGTGGGTCCGCCCATGGGTTTCGACGACACCGCCAATCTGCGGAATCTCGTCAATGAGAGTAATCAGCATTCGGGTGCGACTTTGATGACTGTTGGTCCGATGGAGAAGGAGGGCAGCAATCCCAAAATTCGATCGGGCTACGGAGGCAGTGGTCTGTTGACCAGGCATGCGGTCAGTCTGGCCCAACTACCGCCACCGATCGAGGCTGACGCCGAAGAACAAAACAACGATATGTTCGTGCCACCGCCACCGGAATTCAACGCCGGCCCGTCTGCCGGCCAGGACGAGATGGTATTTGCACCGCCGCCACAGTTCTGCGACAACCGACAGCAACAACAGCAGCAACAGCAGCAGCAGCAACAGCAGCAGCAACAACAACAGCAACAACAACAGCAGCAGCAACAACAACAACAACAGCAAACTCCACAGAACCGCGTGAAGATAATTGGCGCGATACCCAAAGTCGTCGGGAATCAAGTGAAAGCGTCGGGTGGCGGACGGTTGCAGTAAATGGAAAAACGGGCGATGATTTATGCAACGCATAATACAGGTTCATTCGCGTGACTCCTCGACGAGAAGAGGAGAGTCGCGGGTCTGTAACATGTAAACGGTAGATCGCGATTTCAGAGTCAATATATTTAGAGGCTTCCCGCCTTCGGTAGTGATCGCCGCGCGCATCGAATTCTTGAACTGTCGACGGTCGATCCCGTGCGGACAAAATCGACATTCCGCCGTGACAAGCTGTCGTATTCAAAGCGCGGTCGCTTTTGGATGACCTCTCGCCGAGTAAGTCGTACTGTAATCTTCGAGCGTGTAGGATTCGTAGCCAAGCAACCGAGAAGATATATATTCGAGCGCGTTTTTACTATTGTAAGTCCACGAGTGTGAGCGTACGTCCGATTCGCGTCTGCACCGCAGTAGAGGGTTGTTTGTAGCGCACGAGCGCGCATCACACGATCGGCCAATCGATCGATCGATCTTAAGTCGTCCATCACACTTCCTCCTCTCTGTGAGTGAGTTGCCGACAGATTCGCAAGTCGATCCGCTACATCGTTTAGAGCGGCCTAAGCAGTGTCGTTAGATGAGTCCCCTTTTCGGGCATGCGCATTGAATGATACGTGAATATGATATTAGTAGAGTACGTAATTCGATTATTTAAAGATATTGTGTCCGGTCTGAATGTTCCTAAGAGGTTATTTACAAATTTTGGAAAAATTGATGAGAACCTATTTATTTATTTTCTGACGATACTTGAGAGAATTCTCCTATCGGACAAGACAGATATGTCTCGAGATTCACGCAAAAATGGCGAACAACCTTTCTGTCTGCGATCGTATATCCGTGTACTTTTTGATATTTTCGATGCGCATGCGCGAAAAGCGGACTCATCCAATAACACTGGGCCTAAGAGCAAGAGAAAGTGAGAAAGAGATCGAGAAAGCGGCGAGCAAAAATTAATTGTCACTGTCGAGTCGGGGAAAAAAGAAGAGCGAGTGAAAAAGGAGAGGAACGAAAGAGAGAAAGAGAAGGGGAGAGAAAGAAAGAAGAAAAGAAACATACGTTTGATACGTGAGTCGCGACACGTGAATGTACGATCCATATCGGTTGGTTTTTCCACATTTCTATCAAACTACGAGGTGTGTTTAATACTTTTACACGACGACACTCTGCGTCCTTGCGCGTGAGTTCCGATAGTTGGAACTGTCGAGTATTGCAGTGTTATTACGCGGTCGCCTTTAAACCGATTTTAAGCGAGCATTGCGGTAGTCTCGCTCACTCTCGATCCCCCACCACCCTTCACTGGCGAAGCCATCGATCGCGATGACTTCGACGATTACTATGCGAATGAGAATGATCACATAACAGATTAGTTGTTAATCGAAACACGCGCGGTTTTTTGTTTCGACTAGCGTTCTTTCTTCTGTCATACGTGTTTTAGACACTGCTCAAACGCCTAATCACAAAGCTCTACTCGCGAAGTCATTAGAGATTCTTTCTAGTTTGTAATTGCAAATATTACTAGTATTATTATATTATTATTTTATTATATATATTATTATATACTATATTATATTATAATTATATTAATATTATTATATATTACTGCTGTTATAATTAGAAGGAGACTACGGTGCTCCACTCCGAGCCCTCCTTCTCGGAGCGTAATCGCGTCGTGCAAAGACGCGCAGCACTATACTTGGTTAACGCACCATCGCTACTCCAGCCTGTGTAAAATAAATCGTTTCTCTTCCATCCGCGTGATTCTCCCTTGAGCCGGGAGACGTTGGAAGTTTTCATGAGCGCGCGTTCTCGTCGAGTGAGCTCGAGACTGGATGCGCGCACATGCGCCTGCGCGCTCCTCCTTGCGACCGAGATCATCGATGAGAGAGAGAGAGAGAGAGAGAGAGAGAGAGAGAGAGAGAAAGAGAGAGAGAGAGATCAGTCTTTCTTATTGTTTTCACCGACAATAATCGGATTCTTCATCTCCCTCGCGAGTCCGCGAAATTCGAAATTCCTCGCGCGAGTCAATCGATTCTCTCCGATGTACATACGCGTGTTATGTCGGCTCGCTAACAAAACAAACAAAATCACCGTGCAGATGCAATTGCAACTCGCGTCCAGGGGACGCAACGAGGAATCTCGCGGCTCTCGGCGACAGTGCTATACATTGTAAATATTATACGCTATATTGAGTAACGTTGCAAGTGTATCCTCGAATATCCTCCATACAATTACGAGCGATCATCTCATCATCTCATTACGTTTTACCGTATTCACTATATGTAGACATAAGCGATCGTTCCTTCTGATCGTCATTTTTGCGCTCCTTCCTACGAATTTTAAGGAGAAAAATCAGATTTCGTGCAACACATGTGCGAGCGCGCGTGAGTCGCCACATAATTTCTCGAGAAGCTGTGGAAGAAGCCGAGTCAGCACCGTACGCGGAAATACATTCTCAAATGTTCCTCCATGATATATTTCGTCGTTTTTTAAGCATTCACCCTGTACAGCATGAATATCGATAGACATCCCTTGAATATACAAAGTAACACATTTAACATAGCAAATTGTTTTTTAAATGATATCTTATTCTTTAAATCTTTTTCTCTTAATTTAGATAATGACTTCTTTTTTTATGTTTTATTTGTTTACGATAATTATAGAATTTTAATTATTTATTTTTTTTATTAATAATTAAGACACTTGACTATTTGCCGTAGAACTCTTGATTGATGACGTCAGAAGCGAGAAAATACACGCTCAAAATTCCTGCGAAATACATATAAATAAATAAATAACATATAAATAAAAAGTTATATCAATAATTTGCAATCGATCGAGTAGAACTGTAAAATAGTCCGAAAAAACTTCTTTTTGTTCTAACAATTAATAAATTACCATAAAATTAAAATGACATGTAATCTATCTTTTTAATTTCTTTTCTGATGTTTTTGTCATGTTAATTTTATGGTTATTTATCGATTGTCGAAGCAAAAAGAAGCTTTCCGGATTATTTTACAAATTGATCGATTGCAAATATAATTTTCTAAACACATTTTTTTTTATTTTTATGTATTTTGTAGAAATTTTGAGAGCGTATATTTTCTTGTTTTTAACATCAAGTAGTTGTCAATAAACCAAGATGACCGCGATGAATAGTCAGGAATCTTATAAACTGAAAAATATTCAAGGCCGGTTGTTCCAACTTCTTGGTAATTCAACTGATAATTAAATCAAATATCTGTCTTTACCTAAGAAGTTGAAGGATAAACAAGGACAGACATATGATTTAATTATCAGTTAACTTACCAACAAGTTGGAACAACTGGCCGTAAATGAACATCCCAGAGTATCTTCACCGAATATTCATGCCGTGCATCGTCCCGTGTTATTCGCGGGACTATTCAACGCGACTCGCGAACTTTCACTAGGTCAGTATAAAGCAATACACGCGCGCGTGCATCATGACAGCTCGTACAATATACAGACAAGAGATCGGTTGAGAGGCGAGGCTTTATTTTTTCTTTCTCGTGCACGTGGCACGCGCGGTCCACGTGGTGTCTGGTAGCGCATGCAGTTCGGCCGTGCGCACACCGAATGCGGCCGAGATATTATAATTACGACATTCCTGCCAAAAGTAATATATATATATATATATATATATATGTATATGTATATAAATAGTAGTCTTATAATATATCAAAATTTATAGGAGAGAAAGACAGAGTATATGTGTGTGTGTGTGTTGTGTGTGTGTGCGTGCGTGCGTGCGTGCGTGCGTGCGTGCATGCATGCGTGCGTACGTGTGTGCATGTGTGTGTGAGAGAAGGAAAGAGAGAAAGTTAATGTTGCGTAAATCACGTAAGGACATACTTTGTAATCTAATTGTTCTCTCCCGTCCCCACCCCTTACTTCTCTACGCCGTTCGCACGGCTGATCGAGAGATCTCGGGATCGGGTCCCAAGCGAAAGCTTCGTGATCCCGGACACGCGTCAGTAGCAACCGAAGAGTGTCCTGATCCTGACGAAAGAGAGGAGCACGGAGGTCGCCGCTGCGTGCGTACGCGCACGAATCGAACTCTTTCTTGTTAAAACCTACCAGTAAAGTATTTATATATGTATAGTATATGTATATATACAGGCTGTTGTGCCGCGCGTAACGAGGATTAATTGGCCGCGGCGGGAAATCCGTCGGGGAGAGAAGCACGTCGGCGCTCTCCGGCGGAGATGCCGTTAAAATTACCGGTGCGCTTGATTACCGGCGACGCGCGAGGGGATTAGGAATCGCGCGTAGCGCGACTTCGAATTTCGCGTTTCTTTTCTTTCTTTAGCGGTTCTACCAGATTAGTTAATTCTTCCTCGGGAATCTCGCGCGCCGGGACTCCCGTTACCGATTAATCCACGTCTCACGGGTACGTGACGTGTATGCAGAGTGTACTGAGGCAGATGTGTACCAGTATCAGGCGGCACACCGACCGCACAATCTTTCCTCGGAGCTTCGATTCTTTCATTCCTTGTCCGTCGTGGATTTTCATTCTGGTTGTTGAGTAACTTTCGATCGATCATATGTGAAGGATTCGGAGAAACAGGAATGTCGATATATTTTGTATTGCTCACGTTTTACTCGTTGGAAAGTTTAACAAGTATGACATCTTGGCGTTTAGGCAAATACCCGGCGAGATGTTCGACGAGGAAAAATTGAATTTGCGAATTATCACAGAGGACCAGGAACTGTTACTTGTACACGCGTTTCTCGGGATGATACTCTGCGTATGCTCCGATATGAGAACGGCGAGTGCCAACGAGGACCCATCGAGAGCCGCGACTCGATAAACGTATTGCGACCGACTGAATTTTTCGAACCACTGTTTATTATCTTCTAGCACTTCTACGTTTAATCTCTCCATGCCCGTCCTCTCATCCTTACACCGCCACCCTCCTCTTCATTCACCCTTCGTCATTCTTCATATTTCAGTTATCACTATTATTAATATTATTATCAGGCAATTA